AAAGTGGTTGTCAGGAAAATGATAGGATTTGCTAATAAACATAGTTCAATAGTATTTACTAAACCACTTTTGGTCTAGTCTAGTTGAAAATCTCGACATCCAAAATCTCAACAGGCCATAATACTCGATGTGACATTTAAAAATTTAAAGTTGATTGTGAATGTGATTACTAATCTTTAAATATTAATTGTCATGTTGCAGGATGTCAGTATTATGGCCTGTTGAGATTTTGGATGTCGGTAGACCCCTTTTGGTCTATTGGCCAACCCTATATATATATTATAAAAATAATGACTAATACTGAAGTGACTAATAATAACCAACAACTATTCTAGCATAATTTAAAAACTCTAAGATTTTGTCTGGTCTTGCTACAGCTTACTATGAGATGAGTCTTTTTCTACTTCTATACATATCTTTCTTTAAGTTGTATTTCCTAATATGTTTTTTTTTTTAATAGTACCAGATAAAGTCTTAAATACTAACTCAGTCATGAACTTGGTTCACAATTATCACATAGTCACAAGATCATGATTCAAGCAAAATTATGTATCAATAGAGTTAATCAATTAGACTTAATATATAATTAAGTTTGATTACTAATTGATTTCTCACTCTTTCTTTCTTAACAAACAGTATTTAAGTTACAAAAACTAAAAATACTTGCTTAGAGGAAAATTAAATATCGGGAATGATGCTAAAATCAGATGATGCTGAAATTTGGGGTCTTAATTTGAAAATATAAACTCTACTAACATCCATTTATTATAAATGCTAACTTTAAATTCTAATCGAACTATAAAAAAAAGCTAAACAAAACACTCCAAAAAAATTTCAAATTTTTATAATAAAAATAAGTCAAATATCAGTATGTATCATCCTAGTTTCCTAACATTAAATGTTATAATATACAGTATATTAAATATATATTTTGTTATGTTATTTGATATTCTAACCTCTGCAACCTTAAATAAAAATGTAAATCAATTCTTGTTTAATCTTGTGTTTATTGTTTTTAAACTTTTTAAATATCAGTTTTAAACACCAACATTAATAGTTATTTTAAAAACATGGATAAGTCAAATACTTTATCTTCTAAATTTTCAACAACCTTATTCTCTAATGATAATAATATCAACAATGCACTTGATTTTATTAATGGTAAGTATATATACTTTTTTTAATATTTGATATATGAGTGTTACTAAAAGAAAACCCGAAAACTTAAATATGACTTATATTTAAATTGTCAGGTTTTCTTTTAGTGACACTCATATATATATATATCTTATTAAAAAATATTGGAATATTATTTTTTTAGATGGTTATTCTACTCAAGATTTTAGACAACAATATTCTACTAGTTTGCTTATAGAAGCACGATATCAAACTAGAAATAAAACTTCTTATAATTGGTACATTGTGCGATCTTTAGGATATTATTCTGCACAAATAAAATTTACACAAAAAAATTCTAAAGAAGGCATTCAATATCCGATTTCTGATAAATATTGTATTGAAACAAGTTTATTTAAAAAACAAATATGATGTGAAACAAAATATCAATTAAATGGAAGTGTAAGATTTAAAGTTATATAGGTAGAAAATAAAAGTGAATAGAGTTTATATAGTGATAAATCAGCATTAAATGTAATTAGTTCTTTTTTAAAGGTATTTTTTTTTTAAAATATAATCTTTTATTCTTATTAAAATACTTTTTTTAATAATTTATAATTAAATTATAAGCTCTAATTTATTATAATTTTTTTTTTAGCATCATAATCATTTTAAAAAAGAATTATCTGGTCTACGAGTATTTGGATTTGATATTGGTAAATTACATAAATGTCGATTAGAATTAAATACAACTTAAGATCTAACATCAATAAATCAGCTTGTTAATAAAAAAAAAGCAGCCATTATTAACAGTATATTCAGTGTCAGGTCAAAATAAAAGACTTGCAGCATTTGGAAAGCAATCTGGAGATATGATACATAATCTTATTAAAAGCCATCGATTAACTAATAATAATAATTAACCAATAGTTTCTCTTCGAAATATTACATTAGATTATAATAATGAAACTATTTTTTTAAACTATCAAACATCTGATAAAAAAAAAGATTTAGTTAAATTAGATGCAATTGTAAGAGCTTG